AGCCAGCAGTGCCGTGCTGAGCGGCAGCGCAGCGTGCATGTCACGGCAAGGGGCAGCAGGGGACAGGAGGAGGGAAGAGACAGCACAGACAGCTTCTTAAAATATACATATATATGTATATATGTACATATATATATATATATATATGAGGGAGGACTTTGGCTCTCTGAAGTCACACTTCAGAAAAACAAAACCAGAACAAGAAGATCAAGAGAGCCTTGTGCCTCCAGAAGCATAACCAACCAACGTCCTAGGACGTTCACTCTGCCTTTAAAAGAAGTCTTCAGACAAAAACTATAACATAGCTGGCTATCTTGTGATGGGTCTAAATAAGAGACATTTGGGCCCGCAGTCTCCTGGTAGGAGGAAAAACTGCTGTCACGTTGATCTGGTTTATCATCTAACACCTAAAACTGAGAAACTGTTACACCTTGTAGTTCTAGTGAAATACAAAACATTTCCAATTTAAACTTCACCTTAAATTATTCTGACTGAAATTTAGCAGCCTTGAACTGACATCAGGTACGCAGTGTTTACCTTAATTCAGCATCTCGGTTATGAAAGCTTCACTGGCACTTTTTCTTCAAGGGTAGAGTACAGCTATCAGCACGCACAAAATTCTCTCTCAATAAACACTTCATATCATCTTGCACATGGCATTTTCTTTCATGGACCATTTATTTCTGTATTCTGACATTTTGTAGTTACTGACATGCTTGAATACAGTCTTACATGTTCTTATGCAGTGTAATATATGGAGCTTTAAAGAGTTTGACTTTCCAGTGACTATGTTTATCAGCTCTTCCAAGCTTGTTTTGGTGAAATGTTGCAAAAGCACAAAAACGTTTTGGTGAAGTGTTGCAAAAGCACAAAAACTAACACACACACAAAACCCACTAAAACCAGAGTTTGCTGCAAAGCGCGTTTTCAAAGCAGCATCCAAGGATTCAGTTGCCACCCATAGTGACTGCAGGTAAATTCCTGCTGGTTATTAAACTCCTGGTTACTCCGGGAGCCAGAGTTCAGGGCTAATCATTCCCAAGTAACTAAATGCTGACAGCCTTTGGAAAACTATTCCTCTGAAAAGCAAGACGGGAAACTAAATTGCCACGGATTCAGACCCAGGACCTTCTCAGACCTGCCCGTGCTGCGCCCAGCACCGCTTGGGCCCCAGCCGGGGTGAGCCCCGAGGGGCACAGGCAGCCCGGCGGGTGCCCGCCTGGCACCGCCAGCCACCCAAACCCTGCCTTCCTCCGGAGATGCCGCCTTCACCTGGGTGAGCAGCTTATCGCTGTCATACGCCGACAGCTTTCACACCTGCCCCGACAGAGTCCACGTTGGCCAGCTCTTACTTATATTCTACAAATTAAAGTTTTTTAGGCTTAAAAGAGGTGTGAGTACATTTTACATCCACACACCCTGAAAAAAAACAACAACAATTTCCAAGCATGCTGAATGGCAAGCAGAAACTGTTAACTATTTTCTTTTTTTCCCAGGTTGAAATTCCACACCAAAATAAAGCTTTCAACCCTGAAGGGGTGCAGAGATTAAAAAACCAAACTGAACTTTCACCTCTCGAGCCGAGACGTGCGGTAAATTTGAAGTACATTTAGGGGCTGGTTCACGTGAAGTTATTTTTCATCTCTGCGCTTCCTGGTTGAAGTAGCAAGAGTCACAGGCAAAGCCTCGTCTGCGCAGATTCAAGGGTGTTCACTGCAAAGAGCTGAAGAAGGGAAGCGAAGACACCAGGGTGCCTTTGGCACTGACCCAGCATCTTGACCGGAGGTTTCAGGCTGTTATTTCACCTGTCCATCCGTACAGGGAAAGGTAACGCATACATACGTACTGCGAACGCTCGGAGGACAGGCACCGTGGAAGCGCAACGTGCCACTTTACGCTCCCAAAGCGCCTGGATGTGGCCGCAGCCAGCGTTTCCCTGAGCCGTCCAGCTAAACAGAAAGCCACGAGCAGCCGGTTTTGGGGACCCAGGACTGGAGAAGACATCCCAGGGCACCAAGTCCACTCCTCTGCTGCTGCTGCTGAAGTAAACTCTCTTTGTAGTTTTTCTTACTGCCCTTCACCCTTCTAGAGCTATTTCACAACCGTCAGCTTCAACTTAGCTTATTTACAACTGTCTTATGCATGTTTCTCCTCATGACTGTACTTTTATTTTAAGAAGCTCCTTCCTTCCCCTGGCGTTTACAGCCAGCCCCATTCTCCTGCTGCTGAAGTAAACTCTCTTTGTAATTTTTCTTACTGCCCTTCACTCTTCTAGAGCTATTTCACAACTGTCAGCTTCAACTTAGCTTATTTACAACTGTCTTATGCATGTTTCTCCTCATGACTGTACTTTTATTTTAAGAAGCTCCTTCCTTCCTTCCTCTGGCGTTTACAGCCAGCCCCATTCTCTCTCCGACTTCATTTTGTTAGGGACTTATCTAAGCTTTCAGTCTCTGCTCAGAAAATAGCCTGTTCCCTAATCATCCCTGGCCCTGCTCCAGTTCGAATTTATCTCTCTCAAATGTGGGGGACTGGCTCTGCATAAACTATGACAGATAAGATGGCAGGAAGGCCTTGTAAACAGCACTAATACTGCTTTCATTTTTAAGGGAAGAAACTCCCCTGATTCATCCTGGGACCCCGACCCTGTCATTTCCACCTCGCAGCCGAAACTCACAGGTTTAAGTCCCCAATAGCACAAAATGAAGCACCACACTCCGTACCACTTCTGTTTCTCCACCGCCCAAGGGTAAGCCCACTTCTCCCAGGCGGTGGTCTAACCCCCTTCGTCACGACCATCCCTGCCCGACGTGGTTTTACCAGCGCGTGTTCCCAACGTACCCGTGCGCTTTGCACCAGGCTCACGAAGAAGTCACTGCTGGTCCACCATCCCTCCCTGCCGAAGAGCTTCACTAACAAGCTCTCCTCATCCCAAACAGTGTTAAAAGGGAACTACCACTACCTTCTCCTTAGGGCTCTCCGTCCGATACCAGCTCCTTTCCCCAGCTGGGTAAGAGCCTTCTGCAGACCGTGCCTGGGTGCTGCACTTGCCCCTTAGTGCTCTTCCCAGCCTTCTACCGGCAGCTGTTTTCAGAGACTATCGGGCTACCTGGATTTTTACTTTCATCTAACACGGCTGTTCTCCGCCCCACATCGTCATCCGTGCCGAAACAGAAGCATTTCTTTAAAACTCTGAACTGCAGATAGCCTGCGGATCTGCACTCCTGCTCACCGCGGTGTCGCCAGACAGGCGTCCTTCCAGTGCTATCGCCAAAAACCTTCCAGTAAGTTAAAAGCACAGCTTTGTCACACCGAGCACCTTGGCATTTCCCGTGCAGCTAAGCCCATTCTGCTGTCGCGTACACGACCAAGGTGTCTAAGACAGACCGACACCACCTACAGCACCACAAACGCCGGTGCCTGTTCACAGCCTGCTCGCCAGCAAATAAGCCACCCAGCCGAGCTTGCCATAACGTTAACACATAGCCTGCACAGACGTTTTTAGCCATTTCACAATTACGTATAATTAAAATGTTTTTAAACTGCAGATTGTCACAAGTCTGTGTATTTAAAACAGCTTCTCCTTTTCAGTATAAAATGCAACTCCAGAACTCCCGAAGTCAAAGAATAATATTAATAATCGTAATATCACATGCTTGAATACTCTAATTAAACCAGCCTAGATCTGGCCAGTACTCAGACGGACTCCTTGCAAGGTAAAGGCAAGGCAAGTCTGCAGAAAGGCACGCGAGGAGCTCTAAAGAGTCATTTTTTGAGCAATATGCAAACCCAGAAGGCAGTGACTACCAATTATCATCTTCTGTGGCACGTTTCCAGAAGCAGTAGGTGTACTCCTGGCCAAAACCCAACTCTAATTATACAGTGTCCACCTACTCCTAAATTTCATCCGCAAGTTATTTTTCATGTTCTCTTTATAAAATGTATCGACTAGGGTTACTGGCACAGAACGACTGATGCCTTCGGTCCAAGGCCGGGTGCGTTTGAAGGGTATGAGCCAATTCGGATTGTTTTTATTTCCCATCATATTATTTGGACAAAAGACAGAATATTATTAACCAGAATTGACTAAGTCAAGGAGAAGCTTCACTGTAAAGAAACAAAGCTCGCATCCAAGTTTTTAACAAGCTTCAATTTCTTAAATCGATGTAGATTGACAGCTAAACCTCCAGGGTCTGCCATCTGCCAGAGATGCTTCCTACCTCCCTTCTCTGTTCTAAAACGGTCTTATTTGGGCAGCAAAGATCTGATCGATACCAAGATGAGCAGTGGCAGCGACAAAACAACAGCCATTCCCAGATTGAAATGCCTGGTTAGCTACTGGTTTCCAGTGCCAGAATGGAAATACATTATTCTGGACACCCCAAACCGCATTTGTGAAGGCTGAAGCAATGCTGAAGCCAGTTAATTTGAGAATGCTCTGGCGTTAACAAAAATCAATGCTTTTAAGTCTTAGCCTTCAACAGAGAATCCGATTCCCCCCCCAAAGTGACTGCAGAAGCACCCTGTTTATTCTGCTGCAGCCTGCAATCCCCTTCCTATTAGGTTTATACTGATTTCAACTGAACCAGAACTATATGAACAGGTTATGCAGAAGAAATTGGGGTAAGAGAAAGATTTCCTAAAGTTATAAAGAAGGATCCTTAAAATACCATGATAGCTTGGGAAGGAGGTGTTTTCCCAACTCTTCTGTGCAAACCCCATCAAAAGCAGCTCAGTCAGTTGTTGGGCTGAAAAAATAAGTCAGTGCAAGACGTACCGGAGACGAACAGACAACCTGCGTCAGCTAATGCCTCTCGCCTCCTCTCTCAGCGTCGCAATACCTCTGCTTCACAAACGCACGAGTCACACGTCTAAATAACGTTAGCTTTTTCTTGTTTGAAGGGATTTTGTTTGTTTGAGGGGTTATTCTTACTCTTAAATATTCGTTTGCTACAGTTACAGAATTAACAAGTACGTGTTTAAGTCATAGAAATACTTACAGACCAAATAATTATCATCCTTCTAGACACAGAGTGATCTATGTTCCAGTAGGTAAATGGAAGGAAAGTGATATAAAAAATCTCTTCACCCAAAGCAGCTGAAAACTTGAACAAGTAGTAGTAGAAGTAGTTCTTCACAATATACTTCTGCGCGCAACCCTGGAAATGAGAGGATTTTAGAAAGTTTTAGTGAATTAGCAAATTATATAAAACACGTAAGATAATTTAACTGTTACAGTTACCAGCCCTTAAACCAAATAATTTGTTGGAACAAGAACAAGCGTCAGGAAATGAAGTTCAATTTTTATAGTAAAACGAAGACTACAGCGATGGCTCAGTTACATTTCCTGCAGATCAGAAATCTATTCAAACTAACTAAGGGTAGCAGTCACATTGACAAAGATTTCCGGGAGATCGGATCAGTCTTTCCTCCGAGGAAATCAAGTATATTTAAGAACGGGTACCGATGCGTTAATTCTGAAGTTTCTACATCTGTAGATAAAAAGAGGCACCGTTGCTTTCGCTGGAAATGTGTTTTGAGATGAAAAAAGTAAACTGCAATTACTGAACCACTTCATTTTAAATTTGCCTCATTATAGCAGGCAAAGTTTACCCCGCTAGTCCCTGAAATTTGCCGTCGGGTGCCGCTGGTATCAGCATCCCCTCCACCGCCCTCAATACCGGGCTCTTGCGGGTGCTTCCGACCCCGCGTTCCCCCACGGCGGGACGCTCATCGTATCGCCCTGCGCTGAACCGCCACGGCTGTAAACTACAGCCCGTAAACCCGGCTGCATGAGCTGATCCGGGGGAAACAAGGCTGGGAGCGGGCAGAGAGAAGAGCTGCCCCTGTCACCTCCAGTGTCTTTAAGTCACAACAGGCAGGTTGTCTCCTTAAACAGGAGATACACTGCAAACTGTTTAGGACTTTATTCATTTTATTAAGCTACGGATTTCACTGCTCTCTGGATTTGGGGGGAAACAAGGCTGGGAGCGGGCAGAGAGAAGAGCTGCCCCTGTCACCTCCAGTGTCTTTAAGTCACAACAGGCAGGTTGTCTCCTTAAACAGGAGATACACTGCAAACTGTTTAGGACTTTATTCATTTTATTAAGCTACGGATTTCACTGCTCTCTGGATTTGGCAACTAGATGATTTCATTAGATGCACCCCACCTAAAAATACTTGTTTTCTCTCTTCTAAAAGGCTGCACCCAGCCCGCCGGAGCCGGGAAGCCACACGACAGCGTATATTATTAAGGCCACGACTTTGGTCACTTGCGGCGAGGTTTGCTGTTGCTGCCGTTTGGGACTAGTAGACCACTAAGAAGCCTCCCAGCCGGTTAGCAGGAGCAACATGCAAGTGAATCGCATTTTATTTAAACACCTGTACACTTTGGAAAAAAGGAGATATATATGAAGAGGATTTTTGATTTGGGGGCAGGAGCAAGGGAGCCTATCTAGTCTCTCTCCATCTCCCCAAAAAGAAAAAAAAAAAACAAAAAGTAAGAAGTTGATTGTGTAAATACGAGGTGAAAGAACTTCCTAAGGATGAGAGCTGAGAAGGGATCATGAAGGTTTCAGCATAGACACACTAAGTTAAGATATAGCTTTGACATAAGCTCCTAAAACTCTTCTAAGAGGAAAACTATTATGCTTGGACTTGACTGTATAACTAATCTACCAGAGAGAAATTTTCATCCTATGTGCCAGTGAGAAAATGTAAAAATCATCTAAGGAGTCTAGACATGCATCTGTGACTCATCATAAAAACCATTAGAAGTTCCAGTCCCTTAATCTGCTTTCAATGGAGATGAGGCAAACCGCATGAAGACAACAAAAGCAAGATGGAAAGAAGTTGCATCCATTCACCTATCACAGAAAAAAACCCCAACAACACATTTAAATTGATTTTTGCATCAATAAACAGAAAAGATGAGTCAACGCTTTTGAAAGACTGGGGTGACAGGAACGTTCCCCCATGTATTAGTAATAGAGGTCACAGATGAGTTACTGGCATCCCTCTAAGATCATTCAGCAGTATGCTATGGCTGAATAACAGAGCAATCAGCTTAAGTGTCTCGAGTCTCATACGCCACTTCGAAAACACCCCCAGTGCAATTAGCAGCTCCGACGCTTCTGCCTGAGATCCTGAAACCGCATTTGGCCATACGCACATTGCCCCAAAGAAAGCTCTCTTCTGGCATCGCTAATTCCTCAATTAAGCATCAGTCTCCAATGTATTAGGAATTACGTGCTCGTGTGCTTTAGATCAAAGATGATCAGACATATCCCTAAGGTAACTCTTTTAGACTTGGACTCGTGGGATGAGGGATAAGACTTTCCAATTCCAGTAATCTGTTTGTTTGGGGTTTTTTTGGGGGGGAATAATTCTTCAGGTTCTAAAAGAAATCTGGAGTTAATATTTCCAGGCAGAAGGCAGGACCAAGTCTTTCCACATGATTTTTAAAACCTTTCTTTTTTCTTTCTTCTTTTCTTTTCCTATCAGAAATCACTCCCCAGTTGTTTGGGGGGTTTTGTTTGGTTGGTTTTTTAAACACCTTTTTTTTTTAAACACTACACCAGCAGCTGCCTTTTTTTTAAACACTTTTTTTTTTTTAAACACTACACCAGCAGCTGTGGACAGCCCAACGTGTGAGGCAGGGGACAAACAGATCACGTCTGTGACACACGACGGTAACAGCCACGTGTTAGGCACGCAAGGTATCACACAATCGCTCCACTTCATTTTAGGTAGTGTACGGTAATAAAAAAAGCGACGTTTTCATTCATTGCGATCCTAAACACTTTTTTTTTTTTAAACACTACACCAGCAGCTGTGGACAGCCCAACGTGTGAGGCAGGGGACAAACAGATCACGTCTGTGACACACGACGGTAACAGCCACGTGTTAGGCACGCAAGGTATCACACAATCGCTCCACTTCATTTTAGGTAGTGTACGGTAATAAAAAAAGCGACGTTTTCATTCATTGCGATCCTAAAGCATTGTAAGTACAGAAAGTCCACCCCGTGCACCTTTGTACCCTGGCCCATGAGAGGTCTACGTTCCGTTGCAGCAGTTAGCTCACATTTACTATTTATATCCATTATTTCTGCAGAAAGCAAAGACTACTGTGCTTTGTGAAGCGCCTTCCCTTTTTATCCTCATTCTAACCCCAGTGCAGGAAAAAGCCATTACAATTATTTGTGTGAACATTTAGCATCTTCTAACACTCTCAGAAGTTTATTCAGTCTCTACTTTTAAATAACCCTGGATCTTTAGACTTGTTTGTATTTAATGCACTGAAGTGACCTGATGCCTTCCACAACCTCTGAAGACTTTCAGTGAGTCAGCCCCTCCATCCATCTCCATCACTATTCCGTCTGGATCAGAGAAGTTTTAATGGGCAGTAATTAAGGCTGTAGAGAATGTCAGAATTTTAAGAACATTTCAGAAGCAAGGTGTAATAAGCCACGACATTCGCAGACACAGACGACAGGTAATTTCACACAAATGACCCTTCTCATCAACTATAAAATATCTATTTTGAAAAAACTTAACTGCTCAAATTACAAGAGACTCACACATTCATGTGAGTCTCCATAAATTAAATACTCACCTGAAGTACTGGCACAGAAAATGGCTCTTGCAGGACACCCTAATTTCTCAGTCTCTGCACGCTGGTCACGGGTGGGTCACCCACGGCAGGCGCTGCCCCACGCACGCTCGGGGGTCTGAGGACAGCCCCTACGCTGCCGCAGCACCCACCCAACCTCCCCCGGAGCGTGGGAGCATCCCCAAAGTCTCCCTGCGGAGCGGTAACGACAGGGCCAGCAGAGCAGATCAAACCACCACCCTGGTGACCCTTGGGAGATACTAACACAATGACACAGTACGGCAGGAATCCATCGTTTCAGACAGCACATACATAAAGAACATTTAGCCTTTATAGCCGAAGTAAAGGAACAGCAGCTGAACCACTAATGTAATGGATTTAAAATGTATTTTTAGGCAGAGGTATACCCCCCACAAGACAAAAAAAACCCATGTAAAGATACCACTCCTTCCAATTCCTGTAGGATCTCTCTTGTCGGGCGCTGGCTTTCCCTGCCCTGCCTCTAGAGACAAGCTTCGCAGCATCAGACGTCTAAGGCTCAGAGCCCTGACCCAGAGACACCATTAACCAACGTTTTGTTCTCAGCTCTCAATTACTTTGGATCTTTCAGAACACGTGCATGTTTAATTAAAGTTCTTGAAGTCCCTTGCTTCCCTTCCAACAGAATTGCCTTGCAGAAGATCAGGAATTTCCCTCCCAAAGCCCCGAGTTAATGCATTGCGATACCTCTCACTTAAGGGAGGGGAGTTTTTTATGCTGCAAAAAGGCACAAAATTTAGAGAAACCACCAAAGACCAGGCACGAGAATAAAAAGCCAAAAATTCCCGTCTAGATGCTGCTGTACACGGAGACAACAGAAATCAGACAATCCAGTCCCGCAGTGCAGTACTGTGTGGAGCATAACCGGTGGGGAAAAAGCCTTCTGTATTGCAGTATTCTGTATAAGCGGTCAGTTTTACGTCACTTCTATGTTTCTTAACTGTACCCCGTTAATAAAACAACCCATCACGTCACAACCAAAAATTAGGTACCGGTGATCCGATTGTGGAAAAATAAGAAAAAGCAAAACCCACGATATCAAAGGCTTCAGCTCTTCCATCCATCTGCACAGCTAAGTGTCAAACAATCTCAGAGTTTTCTGAAGATCCAGCTGAGAGCAGCCAGTAACATCTCCAGTAACATCTCCAGCGCCTATGCATTCACCTCTCCTGGGAGCACCAACGCTAGAAACTCACCGCTCCAAGATGGAAGAACAGGGTGGCCAGGAAAAAGGGGCTGTGCCCCAGTGAGAGATCCTGGTGTGGCCGTGAGCCCCTCGCAGGGAGGGGTTGGGGGCACAGGACCGGTGGCGAGGGAGGAGGCAGCAAAGGAGGGATACAGACACACGGAAGGAATTGCAGAGATGTCAAAGAGAGCAGAGGGGAAGGCAGTAGCACACAGAGCCTACAAAATGCACATAAGGAGTCCCAAGGCACGAAAAGCTTACCTAACCCAGCTCATATCCATGTGCAGCTTCCCGCCCTGTTCAAGTGCTTTTAAT